AAAAAAAAAAAAAAAAAAAAAAAAAAAAAAAAAAAAAAAAAAAAATAGAAGAAAGAAAAATATTAAGGCTGCGGCAGGACTCTGAGCTTCTCCGAGGGCTGTCGCAACCCTGTGAATAGCGTGTTCTCCCAAATAATTGCCTCCACATCTCAGTGGCCCATGGACAGCCCAAGGCTTTTTGCGTTGCTCCCAGGCTATCCCCTCACCCCAGGGAACACGTTCACACTGCCCACCCAGATCCAGTCTGCAGAGTCCCAGAGCAGCATTTGGCTGATCTGTTTCATCTCAGGTAGATCCCATACAGGAGGTGGTACAGGCAAAATGCAAAACTTTTCTTAACCCTGCCTTAGGCACCCCACTTTTTATACATATTCATAAATTTCCTGAGGTCACTCCCAGCAAACCTTTGAAGATCAACCTAATACATCTAATTTATATTACACAGCAATGGCAGCATGTCTGCAATAAACTGGAAAGAATTTTCATGGATTAATACATTCTAAGACTGTAAGATCTGACCTTGGGGTAAAAGCCCTCAATCAGTAATTTCATAACATTTGTTGCATTACAGCCCTTCATTCAGAATGACGTCCAGCAGTGTTGACTTTAAGGCATCAGTAATGAAGAGTCCATCACATCTCTTGATAAATCATTTCAATTATTAATTAGTTTGCTGAAAGGTGCATTTCATATTCCATATCAATTTGTCTTATTCCAACTTCCCACCACCAGGTCTCATCATGCCTTTATTAGCTTAAGGGGACGCAGTATCAGTGATCTTCTCCCCCACACAGGAGCTAAGATTAATCACATTTTGCTTGTGTAAAATAATAAGGCCAGCTTTCCTTCACCTCAAGAATCATTCCTGGAGGCACTTCCAATGCACCTCTCCTTTTTCCACATGATGTTGAACTGGCCCTTCTGTGACCTGCCTGCACTGGGCCATAAGGTGCAGCCTCCCTCAGTACCGGCCAGTTCCATAGGCTGGGCAGGTTGGCAGGTTGAGAAACCTAATCCCTACAGGCAGACCAGACAGAGTGTTGTCCTTGTGGGGATGTCTCTTTATGAAATCATCTACGCCATGTTTTTGATGCCTCGGGTTTTAGCTGTTATATTTTTCAAATTCTGTACTGCTTAGTGTGTAGTTCTTAGCTTCATATTAGGGGCTGGTAAGCTCTCTTCACAGAGTAGGAGATAAAACAATTCCTTCTCTAGCTGGGGACCAAGGACAAATGGTCCAAATTTCAGGCCCAAGAGCATAAACAGTGGACTGAAGAGAGAAAAACATGGGTCTTCATAATATAAAGCTGTAATAGGACAATTAACTCAAATAAGATAATGGACCAGAACTTATAAAAGTGAGAGACTTCATGACCAGTCATCCATTTTGTGACCATTTTGGGTTCATCTTGGGTGTAGCCCTGGCCAGACTCTTGTACTGCCCAAGGTGTATCCGCTGAAGCCTTTTAATAAATACCTTCTTTATTTTTTAACTCTGTCTAGCCTCTGTTCTAGGTCAGCCTTCACAAGACTCCAGTTTCTGGTGACCCAGGTGGGGCAGAAGGCATTTGGAAAACCCCCTGGATCAGAGCCAGAGGAGCATCCAGCTCTTGCCCCTCCCCACTCCTGCCTAAAAGCATCACCTACCTCCTTACTTCTGTGTGCTCAGTCTTGCACTGGAATAAATCAAACCATGACCTTTGTTTGTACAAGTGACTTGTCCAGCAGTTTGTCACCTGCAAACTTTCCAGCAACTCATTTTCTTCCAGAAAATTGATTATCATAACACCAAGAACATTCCTAGGATGCCAGCAGGAATAGGTGCCATATTGATTTTGTGTAATGCTATTTTTAACCAGAATATCATATGCTAAATGATGTTTTGCCATTCTCAGCTTGCTATGCAAGTTTGTCTGTCAAAATTAGTTCCACAGAAAAATCTTTCTTCACTGCTTGTATACTGTATCATTCTGTGATTTTCACCAGTACTTGGCTACCAGAACTACAGCTACTTGGATCAACTTGGTGATCCTTTTACAACATTGGCAGTTTATTAGCACACACACTCACATTGGCTCTGGACTGTCATCATCTTTCCAAGATCTGGGGTTTTTTTTGGAAGCAATTTCTACGGTTTTGAGAACTCAGTTTTCTGAAAGAAAGCTTGAGGCCAGGTTGTGTGTTGCAACAGAATTAGTATCTTGGACATTATTAGCAACTACCTGACATCCTTCTTTGCTACTGCTGCAGCAGCAAATGTCCCTTTGTCAGCTGAAGATTGAAATGCATCTCCTTGCTTTCCCAGCACAGGCCAGAAAGAGTCACTGGACAGTTCCACTCAGAGTGAAGTTCAAGGCTTGCCCTCATATGGGAGGCAGAGACCAGCTGACACTGGTGTCCCTGCAGTGCACAGGGAAGGCCAAAGAAATGCATCCAGGAGAGATCTGCAGAGGTCTGGATTGTGGCTGGATATTTAAACCAAGCAAAGCTGCACTTCAAATTACAGTATTTAACAATGTGGTGCTTCTGACCTTAATCTGTTTCTTGCTGCACTCCCTGACAGTAAAACAGGGTGCTCTTCCTCCGTGGCAGTACTGTGAAGACAGATTAATAAGTATTTGGGAAACACCAAGAAACTGTAACATTCAAGTTCTATAAAAACAACCAACCAACCAACCAACAAAAAAAAAACAAAAAAAAAAAAAACAAAAAAAAGGAAACAACTAAAGGAAACAACTCACACTAAGAAAATAATTTTTATTTTTCAGTCTAGGGATTTGTTCTGGGGATGCAAGTAAGGCCATATATTGAACAATAAGGATTAGTTAAAATAAGCCTCTCAAAATTCTTCCTGTGTGTCAGTAAGGCATGAAAATGACAGTTTCTCCACCTTTTGTAAAAAACAACAAAAAATCCCCAATAAAAACAAACAAAAAAACCCCAAGCACCCCTCACTCCTCCCTCAAAAACAGGGGATGTATTGCAAGAAGATAATGTAATTAAAAATCGTAGTTTAATACACACATTGAGGCCAACTTTTGATTTCACAAAAACCTTTATTTCTCGCACCTAAGTATTTAATTTGCTAACTGATTGAAAGTTTCACGTTGTCCACATATGTTTTCTGCTACAGTTGTACAGCACATGATTCTCTGCTACAGTTATATCTTGTAAAGCCTGCTTCTTTCCAGTTCTCAGCTATGAGAAATTTCTTTTCTTAGGTACTGTACTGTGTTTATGCATAACAGATGCCCAGGTAACAGCTCATTTTAAATAAAATAAGGCCTGAAGGAGAATTGCACCAAACTGCTTATTAAATATTGTGTCAGACACAGCCACTGGCCCAGCTGCCTTTTCTTCCCCTTAGAAATCCCCAGAAGGTTTTGCTACCGTCAGATTGGTAAAGTGCATTCCCTAGGATGAAATCCTCTGAAGCAGCACACATCCTTTATCTGTTAGGCAAAAAGGCATTATATTCTCATTTGGTGGTCCACATCAGACACCCTCTGTTTATTCCTCGTTGGCTAAAATATCAGTTCACAAGAATTGTAAAACCTGTTCTCTTAACTCGAAAATCAAATGTCACTTTCTTCTTGGCATGTTACCCAGTCATTTCAGTGCTTCAATCATGTGAATCCTTCAACCATATTTCTGTAAAAACACTGTCAAGTATCTTCCCGCTAATGATCACTTCCAATTTCTCAGTTATTACTAAGTCTTCTCACAGCGTATGCACAATTAACAATTTTTTTCTTTATATATTTATATTTGCTCATCACAGAGTAGCTAATTAATTAATTTCACATTTAAGCATCTGTATTAGTATGACTCCCTTGACCACTTTTTCTTCAGTTGCAAGTTAAGTATCTTCAGACCACAGATAAAGTCAAGAAACTCAGAAAACTGATTTTCTATTAGCACCAACAAATAAATTGCATCTGCTGCAAGTCCTCTGGGAGATGGTTTGATGCTACACAAAATATATCATGGAGCCCCTTAAGCCAGCAACTCACTTCCTGTATGTATTTTCCTGCATATTCATCTTCTTAATACTTTTTGAGAGATCACTGAGAAGGTCCTGCCCTGTATTTTGTCTCCAGCCACCCTTGCAAATGCTGGAGCCATGCAATTCCTGTCAGTGCTGACTGGGACTGGTCTAATCAGGCTTTGTCTGTTCCTTAAAATATCAGTGAACAGTGGATTAAAAAAACCCAAAAAAACCTGGTAATCTAGGCATAGTAATTTTAGTACTGCATGTACATGCATAATGTTTTTCCTCTGCAAATGAGAAATGTGGGAATACTGCAGTGCTGTAATTTGAACTCAGCTATTGCTGTTGCGCCTCAACAGAACCGGGGGGAGCTCTCCTACCCATCTTTTCCCTCTCTCCCGAGGGCTTTCACACCTACCTCAGCTAACTTCCTGGACCAAAGTTCCATATTTGTTACAAAAGCATACAGCACTCTCAAACACTGCCAAAAAACCTGCACATTTGCAAGGGTATACACACAACTGCATGATCCAAACCCTACAGTCTCTCCAGACACCTTGACTGCTGTCTTTCTATCAGGGTATCAGGACAAAGCTCAGCTAACTTCAAGGTAAACTCCAAATCTAAAGGCCTTAAGAAAGGCAAATGAAGTTAAAAGAGCATCAGATTTTAAATTACCAACCAAGCACTATCACTGTGTAGGTGCCCATGTTTTCATAAATAGGAAATAGGAGCACAATCTCATCAGTCCTTATCAACCAACATGAATTTCCCCTTGCAGTGCATCTTACCACTTCCTATAAATATAACAGAAATTGAACACACTTTTGAGTCTCTGTTTTCAGCAGAGCCAGTGAGAAATACTATTTCCAATTCATGTTGAATGATGCATGTACGATGATGACTGTTTTTCCCAGGTGTTTCTGCAAGCTCTAGCAATCCCCCAACATAATGTTTCAGAAAGGCCACATATAGAGAGGTTTTAGTGGTTTATTTCTTAGAAGGAAGGTTCATGTACTGTCTTCTGTTGAACTGAAAATCCAATAAGTTTTAGCCCATGTTGAAGACCCACAATTTTTAAATGAAAGGAAATTGGTAAATAAGTAAATGAAAAAAAAGTCAAAATCACTATCTGATCATTTCAAATAAATATGATAATTAGGTACCTGACTGTAGTCTGGATGGCTTTCTAAAAAAATAAAAATAAAAAATACAGGAATAGAAAGACTAAGAAATAAGCATTAATTTGGAACTGAAATCCTCCAGTTTTTCCATTTCTATGAGACATCCAGCCCTATCTGTGCTCAGGAGAAGCCCGAAGCCCACAGTCCATTCCTCAGCAGGTAACCCTGACCTGCAAAAGGAAGTCTGGAGATGTTAAAGGAAGTCTGAAGATGTTCTTCATGACTCAGATGCTTGATGGAGTCCTTCACCCTCCAAACCTGAAGCCAGGCATTAATTCATCTCAACTCCGGTGAGTTGAGAAGAAGAAAAGGCTGTCAAGAATAAAAAATGGTAAGTGGATGGACTAGAAGGCCAACACAGAGGGAGCAAGCTGGTGGCATCGCTAATGTTCGGTGTTTGCTTTTCAACTCAACTGTGTTTGTCTAGCAAATATGCAAGCCAGGCTGGCAGGTTTGTTGGCATATGTGAAAACATCTTAGCTGCAGGAAGCCAAAAACACCAATACTTCCTTCTAAACAAGGGCAAAGTGAGAAGATGTATAGGAAATAATTTCCACTTACTAAGTTTCACTTGCATACCACCATCTGATGATGAAATCTTGAAATCCCAAGACTAAGAAAACCTCACTGAGAATGGAGGTCAGTGAGAGCTTTGGCTGTGATTCTAGCAGCTGGGCTTTTATCAGCAACTAACATGGTTCAATCAGCAGTCAAGAAGGCAAAGCAGAAATTGGTAGAAAATCCTTGCTGTTCTCTCATGCAGCCACTCACTTTTGATTTGTGGCTCCACAAAATATAAACCACTGCTGCTACCAGGTGAACAGAAGAACTACTGAGTTCAGGAAACAGAACTTGAGGCACCATAAAATGAAGCTGTCTTCTCCCAGGTGCTGTAGGGATCTGGACCTAAGAGATCAGCAAAATGATGAAATGAAAACCACTGACCACAAGAAAAAAAAATAGTGGATAAGACATTTCCCACTCTACTGAATCACAAAATATTTTATTAATTCTAACATCAGTTTCATCAGTCTAGCCCACAGAGACAAAATTTCAAAGGTGCTCACAAAAACCTTCTATCTACATGGGTAAGAAAGACCTTGGAAGAACATGTACACATGTATCTCCTAAAAGCAGAAACCCTCCCCCCACACCCAATCATATAAATAGGTATGCCAAAATGGCATGAGCTTATGCAGATTCAAAGGAAAGGCTGTACATTTTTTATAGAAAACATGAACAAAAGCAAAGAACAAAACACATACCAAACTAATCAAAACAGATGCCCAGAGTTCTGGGGGGAAAAAGGTTGACATTTTTTCATCCTTCTACACATAAGCATTCCTTCATCTGACAGGGAAAGAAACTCCTCTTATGAGCTGAAACCCTTCTAATCAACACGGTAATGCTGATGGTCGATGGCCAGACACGTTGCTACACACTCCTTGTCTGACCGGGCAAGGCAGATCCCACACACCAGGGCACAAACCATCCTGGACTGCTGCAGATACACCTCCTGTTTTCAGCAGGACCACATGCAGGGTTAACTCATCTAAAAGGAGCTCCCAGACAAAATGCAAGTTATACCTCAAAGACAATAATTTTTGTATTAATATTAGCTGAATTTCACAGAAATCAGTTGCAAAACTGTTTTAAAAATATTTTTTCCACGAATCATTTAAACTCTTAAATGTTAAGACTCATTTTCTCTAACTGTAATTTTCAAATTTTTACAAAGTAATTGTTGATATTATTATTTTGAAAGTTTTATGCACATTGAAAATCCACATAACGTTAAAGTTGGTTGTGGATTCTAGGATGCAGCCACATAGCTGGGCCCATATGAATCAAAACAGGTTTTCCCAAAGCATCACCTTTAAATATTGTTGCCTTCTGCCTTTAAGAAAGATGAGAAAATCCCCATTTTACTCCCAAACCATCTTAAGCATGATTAGAAACTTTTCAAGTGCCATGAACATCTAAAATTGTCAGATCAGTTAAGGTATGGTATTGTCAAGCATGTGCAATTTGTATGCAACTAGATTGTTATTTGTGCAAAACCATGCAGTCATACTCTGCCTTTATGTGTAAATCCACATTGTCTTCAGTAAGGGCTTTCTGGTAGTGACTTAGGGCAGAATATGGCCTACATTTACGTTCTTGGTATTTAAAAGACAAGAACAATTATTAACTACTATCTGTAAAAAATCCAACTTGAGAATGTTTTAGTAGAAAAATAAACATTTTAAGTTATTGGCAGATTAACATTAGTGCAATTTCTGTGACTGCCTTACTTCCACACAGCAGATTAAAAAAATGTCACATGTAAAGAACCTAAGACACTTCAGAAGCAGTTATGTAGCTGCCAAATAAAAAGGAGCAGATTCTGTGGCACTTTATGAAGCTCTCAGTACTTAGTGCCTTCTAAAGCTCCAGGAAACGAGATCCAAGGCTTGTCAACTAATTACAGTTCTTTCCATACAAAAATATATCACTTATGAGCTTTTCAAAAGGCTGACTAGAAAGAGCACATTATTTTGTATTCAGCTATATCCTAGACAACATCTGGATCAACTTTTTTCTTTGAAGAACCATTTTTGATAGTCCGAGTTGGTGCAAGGTTGTAGCAATGGTACTGGGTTCCCATTGTAAGCGTTTGCCTCGGCTTGTAAGCACCTCTGGGTTTGTGGGTGAAACAAGGTACCATCCTACAAAAGATAGAAAAAAAGTTAGCTTTTCAGGTCTCAAAAATTGCAGACATACCACTGTATTTTGAAATAACAGAAATTGTTATGAACAAAAATTCGGTCAATATTTTTTTTGTGAGAAAAAGTTACAAAAAGGCAGCCAGATCTGTCTCTGCCAGGGTTCTGTGTGCTTTGTTATTGTAATCACGGGTCATTGTAGCTTATCACCCCTTTTGTATTAGTAAAGGCCCTGGCTGGGGTGG